TGTGTGTGTGTGTGTGTGTGTGTGTGTGTGTGTGTGTGTGTGTGTGTGTGTGTGTGTGTGTCTCAGTGTCAAAGCCAACACTCACATTCATGTTGAACACAACTGAGACGGTACCTGAAATATCCGCTGGGTCACAGTGAGTGGTGTTGCCGAGGTGGTTTGTGTTTGCTTTATAAGGCGGTATGCTCCAGTGAAAGCCTCCACACAAACACCCACTGCGTCACACAGAACACACACACACACACACACACACACACACACACACACACACACACACACACACACACACCACCAACAACAGTGCCGGAAATGGGCCCGACCCTTGCCCCTTCAATGTGCACATGTATGTGTTACAACGCAGACAAATGTGGAATGAAAAGGAGAAAGAAGGAAGAGGACCACTGGAGGGTATCCACCATAACGGGACAGAATAAGATGGAAGTGAACCTGGTGGAGGAAGTCAGGGTCAGTTCAGGAACTGGGCATTTGCATGTTGTGTTTTCAAGATGCAAGAGAAGGTCAAGGTTATGTTTGAAAATGAAAAAAGAGATGGGTCTTGTTTCCAATTGCAGTTTATTCGGATGATTACATATTTATTCTTTATTTATTGCACATAAATTATTTATAAGTATTCACATTTACATGCTTACATTTTTAGGAAATATTAAGGCTTGGTCTGTTTGATAATAACACAAATATATTACAAACTTGTCAAATATATATATTTATTTATTTTTATTTTTTTACTTTCACATTGTTTATTTTTCTCTCCTGACATTATTTCCAGATAGTGTTACACAGAAACACTGAAACTGAGACAAAGAAAAGTGAAAACGCAGGAACTGAATTGCAAAATATAAATTCAGAATTTTAAACCTTGCCGTACCTGTGCAACACGAACGTCTAAACAGAATCATCCACGTGTTTAAATGTGTCTCGCCTTTTTTTTTTTTTGTTCTTTTTCATTTGAAGTGTGGTGAAGGTTCTTCTTGAAGCCGGCGCCGACCCGAACGCTGGGGACGACTTCAACAACGTTTACGACACCTCCCGGGAGAAAGGCATCCACTCGCTGGAAGGTGGGAGAAACTTCACGGCTGATTTTATTTATTTATTTATTTTTTCCCCTGCGCAGTTGGTTTATCACACGCGTTAAACCCGCTGATATTAGACATTATTATTTACATAAAAAATTTACATTTATGCACATGTTGTCTTATTTATTTCATATATTCCGCGGCAACTAATGTATTTTTTATTTGTTTTCCTTCCGAGCGACACAATCACACAAACGAATGCATGCGTGATGGCACACACACATATACTCTGACACTTTACCCCCCACCGCCGCCTCCACCCTCCAGTCTGTGTTGGGTTTCTGCAGACATATTTATATGGGATATGTATATTGCAGACATTTATATGGCTGTCAGGTTTGGGTCCACGTGGGGCCAGCGTAGCGTGGGGAAGCGTTTCCCAGACGCACACTGATGGATGGGCTAGGGGGGTCTGTGCGACGCTTTATTGGGTTAGCTATGATTATCCCACCCTGTGTTTCTCTCTCTCCCTCGCTCTCTCACACACAGATAATGCAGAGGGAGACTTTCAGTTGGAAAAAAAAGGAAGACTGATGAAGCAAGAAAAAAAGGAATGGGGAGAAGCTCTGAAAGAAAAAAGATGAAAAGAAGGTTAAAAATGGAGAAGTAGGAAGAAGAGGTGGATGTTTAGGAAGTGATGGAGAGATGGAGGGAGCGATTGGAGGAAATGGGTGGGATGCTGAGGGAGAGGAGAGGAGAGGAAGTCAGGAAATGGATGAGACAAACTTATGGGTATGGAGAAAGAGAGGAGGGAGGAAGAGGGTGCAAGTGATGAAAGAGTTTTATGGACAAGCGAGGAGAGAAAGGAGATAAAAACAAAAAAACGGAGAAGTGTCAGAAGATAAATCTTATGAAAAAAGTAAGGAGAGGATGATCGAGTAACTTAACTGAGGCACTTAAACATGTCGTGTTGGACGTTTTTGCTCAAATTTGGGTGACAGAACGATTTTCAAAAGTTTGAAACAGGAAAGGTGATTTTGAAGCAGAAACCCTCCCCTCCTCTGTCAACCTTTTGTAGGATCATTAAACTAAAACACACACAAATGTCGTGATAAATGTTTCTCCACATGTTCCTACAGTTCTGGTGTCCAGAGAGGATGAATTCAGCAGCAGGCTCAGCAGCAGAGCCGGTTTCCGCGGCTGCACGGCGCTTCACTACGCCACGCTGGCTGATGATCCACGCACCGTCCGCATGCTGCTGGAGGCTGGTATGTTGTCACTCCCAATCAGAAAACTCATCCCGTTAAACTACAGCTTGGAGTCTAAGGAGAACCTCAGAGTTAGTTGTACTTTGATGGGATAGATTCAATTCAAGATGGCCGCCACAGGTTATTGGCATTAGTCAACAAAAAAGGGCTTTAATTCAGTCATTTTAGCAGATATTGAGCTAAACATTTCTGTAGTAGGAGCTGAGAGTCATTCACAACACATACTTGACATTCACAACATCATGAGATTTTGAATATATGTTTGACCCAAATGGCAGCAACTCCATCATTTTTAATAGAAGATGATCGTAGTTTAAAAATCTGGCGTGAAAGACTGGATGTTATACATTCATTCAAGGAATACTTTCTTTCTTAGTTTTGTTTTTAATCCATTTCTGGAAAAAAAAAAGATTCAAATTATTTTTAGTGCATTGTTCATAAATTGAATCTAATTCAAGTTTCTGAGTTTTACTCTACAGACATCAAACGGAATATTTTCTCATCCTGCCTTTTGTTCGAGCCAAAGGCAGTGTTGTCCTCACCGATTATTCTAAAGGTTGTCTGTTATCAGACAGCTTTTGCACTTAAAGTTATTGTAATATTGCGCAGGTTTTATTGTTTTTACGTGCTCACATGGGAGCCGTGCGGGTTATAGAGCCTGACTGCTGCTGGGAGCTTCCTTAATGCGTTCTGTAAACATCTTTATCAGCGCAGTTAACAATGCGTTTAAAGATGCTTAGGAAAACTCATCTAGACCGCATTACATCTTTTCCCTGCTCCCCCACATTCGACTCGCACCTGTCATTGACTCGGCTCCACCAGCGTGCACGTACACCCTGAGGGCAGAGTGTCCCACTCTGTTTCCAGCAGAGTCGCTTTTAAACAAGCTAGGCCTCGTTGAACTGTGACCCCCTCGCACAAAATGTGCCCTTGGGGTATCTCCACTACCATAGGAAGTGTGTTTGTGTGTGTGTGTGTGTGTGTGTGTGTGTGTGTGTGTGTATGTGNTGTGTGTGTGTGTGTGTGTGTGTGTGTGTGTGTGTGTGTATGTGCGTTTTACATGAAGTAATATTAGATGTAAGCATGGATCTTAGCGCACTCACTCACACCTCCTTATGATTAACTAATATATTCATTTATTCCTGTCTGCTTTTGTTTTCTGAAATCCTTCATTCAGCATAAAAGAAATTATAGTTGTTCCTTTTTAGGTTGATTGGGTCTTAAATCATATCGCTGTCATTTTTGGATGAAATACCTCGAACCATCTAAAACACACACACACACACAAGCTGTATTAATGTCTTGTTTATGTTTATGATTGATGGTGCGTCTAAAGTTCTGTCCTCCCGTATCATCCTCGCGTCTGTGGCCGCGCTTAAACAAATCACTTGGTCTAACTCGATCAAATGTTCTGCAGGAACATCTTTGAATTAAAAAGGTAAGAAATTTCACAAAGCAGAGACATTTGTTTTAAGGCAATCCGATTAACGACAGATTTGGTTGGCGCTCGCCCGACAGGGTTTCTTCTGGCTTGGCGCCACCATCGCAGCCAATAAGTGTCATGACATCGCGCCGTCTCAATCCCACTCATTGCTGGCTGCATGTCATCCTGTGTAAATGCATGCAAAACCAGAGATAGTCTCTGGTTTTTTATTACTTTTTGGCAGTGCTTACATGTTTTTTTTTGCATCATCACAGAAAGTTATTAAATTCCTCAGCTTATGTAGATTCTGCCCCATCTTTCCTGTCGACACTGAGAATATAAATTTGTCTGTTCGTTTGCCTTATTTCCCCTGTGTTTCTGTGCACCCACGTTACTGTTTTAGCTGTGGGTTTGCTCTTTTGGCCTAAGCCGGACCTCGGCTCACATCTCCATTCATCACCGTCTCCGGACCGACCCTCGGGCTTCAGCGCAGCTCCCGCAGTCCCCCCCACCTCGCCTGCAGAAGCTCCCTCGCTTGTCTCTGAGCTCCACATCAGGCCTCCGGCCACGGGCACTGACTAATGGGCAGCTCTGTTGGTGGTAGCAGGCCAGAAAAGACACACACACACACACACACACACACACACACACACACAC